GCAAGGATATGGTCTTCCTCACAAAGAGGTGAGAAGTTAGTAGCTAGCTCGACTGTAATGTAACTGTACTCACTCTGGGGGTCTCTCTTCCTACCACGATAGTAGAATGACACCCCCTGGTGGTGCTGTGCTGTAATAACAGTTGTTACAGACTGACCGCAACATGTTGGCAGTCTGAAGTTATAAGTTCGGTCACCTGGCAACCACTGAGTTTCCGTAGTCACGGGGAGGTTGCCGTCCTGTTTTTATTCGAGCGTGGCCGTGCCGTTACCGTCTGTGGATTCGGCCATGAGTTGCAGCTAGCTGATGACCGTTTCTTCCCTTCTCATTTGTGAAGAAAATAAAGCATTTTATTTGTTTACAGATTTCACAACCACAGAAACCTGCAGCTGTGCTTCATCAACAACAGCGACAGTGAAGAGGAGGAGGAGGAGGGGGCCAATAAAAAGGTGCTTCCTGCTCTGCTTGCTGCAGCGAGTTTCAGGACACATCAGGGACAGATTTTACTGCAAATGCAACAAAATGATCCAGAATCTAAGCTTCAGAAGTTTCATGTAGTGAAAGGAGAGTTTGTCTGTTCGTGAAACCTTCCAGTGTTGCTGTTTGTAATCACTGAACATTTTAAGCTTTTGGGATCTGTGAGTCTCTAGCAGAGTGGCAGCAAAGCTGGGTGTGGACACAGCTTTTCTCAAAGGATATTTAGACACTGCTGAACATTTGAGAGCAGCAGCCGAGCCAGTGTTACTGCCAGAGATCTGCAGGAGAGTCCGGCCAGAGCAGGAGAGCATCAGTTCATCACCAGGCAACAATAAAAATAAAGAACAGCTCGACCTTTAGAGTTTTCGGAGTCCATTGTACAGAGAGATCAAATTTAAAAAAGAAGCTGAAACACTGATTGGAAGTCACCGAGGGTTAAACGATGGGGGAATCCTTTCCTTTGTCTCTGAGTCATTGTCAGGCACTAACTCGTGTTCTCACTTGTCACTGTCTGAACACACCGCTGCACGAGGAGTGTAACTCTAACTGTTATTAAAGCTGCTTTTTGTGATTATCTGCTGCAGAACGTAACGGCAGCTGTCACCAGCAGGGGGCAGCGTTTCTCCAGCGAGTCTTGTTGCTGTTTTTCTGAACCCAGGCTCGCCTTTACCTCACCACTGCCTAATGCTCAGGTTAAAACACAGTCACAAACAGGTGCTATCCACAGTCTGACCTCTGACCTCTGACCCTGTCAGGTCACAAAGGGAACAGGGCACAATGGTTGCCATGCCGCTGGGTTGAAACAGGAAGTGGCCACGGCTCTGAGGACGTTGAGAGACAAGTTGCTGGC